CCTTATCACATTTGGGTAATAAATCTACTATACTACTATGCCATTCTTTTGGTAAAGAAAATAGAATTTTCGTATTAAGCTCGGAAGTAGTATATGTCTTACCCAACTTACTCAATTTGTTGACAATCTCGTTGAATCTTTTGTTCATATCTTGGATTGTCTCACATGGCCCTTTCTTGAAGGATTCGTACTCCGAGTTTCCTAAGGCAATCATGGTTTGCTTCGTGGAGGTGTCGCCTTCATGCGTGGCTTGAAGCAAATCCCATACCTCCTTGGCCGTTTTGCACGAGCACACACGTGCAAACTCATCGGGTCCAAGGGAGCAATGAAGGATATTCATCGCCTTAGCGTTCATGGACAATTTTCTCTTGTCCTCCGATGATAGACCTGCAAGGCTACCATTACTCGGCACAAATGGCCCGTGAAGTACAAAACTTTGGTTCGCCTCTGGCGGTACCTGGTTAGGACGGGGGTACCCAGCCGGTTCAGCCTACCGTACGGTACCAAGGTACCGTTGCACGGTATAGGGGTACCGTGTAGGCGGTATACCCTACCGTTTGGGGTACCGCTAGGGGTACCGTGCCTCTGTCCTGATTTTTCCAAAATTCCCGTAATCCTTCGTGTTTGAGTTTAAAACCTTTTAGATGTTTGAAAATGTTTATGGGATGGTTTTAAACATATTTTGTGAGTGCTTTTGAGCTTGTGAATATAGGTATATAAAGTCATATCCTTACATTGGTTTCTACCTATATTCTACGCTAGTTTAGTGTTTCGACTTCATTCTTGAGTACCGAATCTTAATGGATTCTTGTTTTACCTGAAACACTTAAACAGACGTTAAGCTCTTATATTGTTTGTTAACATCAAAACATGAGGCTTAGCAAACCAAGGCTAACAGCTTGGATTGATAGAAGAATATGTTTGAATGGATATAAATAATGTTCTTCAAGCAAAAGAGCCGTTGAAAAGGAGTTTTGGAAGATATGGATGGATAACTTCCTTAAAAACTGATAAAACTGCAGTTGAAACTGACGACTTATTCGAATAAAATCATATTTATCCGAATGGGACAGAGCGAAGAACGCAGACTTATTCGAATAAATTAAGGTTTGTTCGACTAAATCACTGTAGGATTGAAGAAATGAAAGTCAGGACTTATTCGAATAATATGCTATTTATCCGAATAAGACAGAACTGAAAACTCTGTCTTATTCGAATAAAACAAGAATTATTCGAATAGTTTTCACAGTTTTAAAAAAAGTGATTTTGCAACTGACTCAAAAACAATTTAAAGGGTTTTTGGAAAACATTTTCAAAGAGGAAAAACAACTAACGTGCCATACACTTTAACAAAAATGCTAAGATCAAAACAAAAAACAAAAACACTATATCTTCACACTTGTCTTGAGATCCAACGCATGATTGTGAAGATCAACATCCAAAGTGCCAAGCCCATGAGATAGTTGTCATTATCAAAACACAAGGGTCAACACTACCAGTGTGTCTAAATGTACCACATACATTGGTGGAGAAGGCAGTAAGGGTCCTTGCCCAAGGTACTGGCCAAAGTGAACAGCAAGACCAACTTGAGTTCATCATGCCTGAAGATGGAGAAGACTTCTCATCTTCAGAGATGAACTAAGTGTTTATGAAATGAACACAATCTTTTTGATTTTTGTTAATGGTTGGGTACATTCTTTTTTTGGCTTTTGATTTTTGTAAATGCATGTTATGCCTAGGCAGAAGTAGGAGAGTAAGTCCTTGAGCTTTTTTTTTGTTTTCAACATCAAGGCAACTACTCAAATGTACTCTAATCAGTTTTCTTTCACTACCACTCACAATATGTAACACTAATGACTTAGTAGAACTTTAAAAGTAAATTCAGATATCATCATTGCTGTGATTATGTGTTGTGTGTGTGGGAAATATATGCAGGGACTTAGAAATTCAGACAGTAAAGACAAAGACACTTCACTGTGTATTCCTTGTGGGAGAGGAGCCTTGGAAATTGTTGGACCACGCCAACCCCATGGTCAAAACCAGAGTGGCTGCCCATGTCAAAACCAGGCACCCAGTCTCTGCCCTGCCCCTCCTCTAGCCCATCCTCCTACTCTTCATCTGATTCGCTCCCAAATCCTCGCATGGGCTTGTCCTCTAACGAGCTTTCCTCATATTCACTATCAGCAATGACTATGCCTGGATACGGGAGAGAATCAGATTCAGATCCATCACCATCCATCTGACTCTCTCCGTCCTCAAACTCTGAAACCTCCTTTTTTTCCTTCTTGTCTTCTTCATTCAATCCTTGAAATTGATTTTTGCTCTCACCAATTTCATGAATCTGGGATTTGGATCTCAAATCCACAGGATCCAATTGTAGGCGGAGGAGGGTATAAGGGAAGACTGATGTTAAGATGGAGAGAGGGCGATGAATTTAGAGAGGCTGAGAGAGGCGGAGAAGGAGAGACAGAGAGAGAGGGATAGATAGATCTAGGGTTTAGACAGAGGAGGCGAAGAGCGAAGAAGGAGAGAAGCAGCGTGGAGGTGTAAATGCAAATAGGGAAGGGCAGGTGTGGCGTAAATGAGAGGGGGGGGGGGGGGGTACATTTGTCTTTAGACTACCCTTTTTTGAGTTTGGGAAGGTATTTTTAGGATGGGAAAAAAAGGAAAGTGGGAAGATTGTTTTAGGACGGAGGGAGTATATAATTAAAAACAAAATGCACATTACATAGTGAAATTTGCACTAAATAGGACTAAAACATAAATCATTTAACAATGTAGGTGATGATTGAGTTTTTCGGTAAGTCAACTTTCCCAATGAAGGGTTAGTTTTCTCCGAGTGTCGTGTCTCTCGAGGAGTGGACGAAGGGAATTAGCTAATTTTTCTAACTAGACGAAGGTTAAGACGGGTCTGAAAGTCTTCTCGATTTGATTTGAAAATAATAATAAAATAAACTACTGGATGCTTTTGAGAAAAAAAATAAATAGTACGGGTATAGGACTAGACTTCAGGTCAAGGAATCATCTGAGTTAACTACTGTTGTCACATATTTAATCAATAATTGGAATAATAATATTTCTGTCACAAATATTTCATTAACTTATCCTCTCTCAAGGCAACATTAATGTGTTCTAAAAAAGTTTGGCTTAATTAATTTTATATCCTCATAGACAAGGCAAAAACTAATTTCCAATAATTAATTAATTTTTCTCTCGACATAACTAATTAATTTAAC